AAAAAAAAAAAAAAAAAGATTCACATGGCCCACACAGACAGACAAACTCCTCAGAAGATACACCTTCCCTGGTCCTGGGATCTGAGAGAGATTTATTTCAGGGTCTTCATAAAGGAGTTATTTGTGATATAGCTAACAGTAGCCTGCAATAGAAATTAACATACTTTGAGAATGTACTATGTGCTGGGTATTTTACCAAGACATGTACATATGTTATCTCACGTAGTGCTCAAAATGATCCTCTGAGGTAGGTCCAAGCCTAGTTTACAGATAATGTAACTGAGAGTTAGTCACATAGCTAGGCGGTGGCAGAGCCAGAGTTAGAATCCAGGCCGTCTGCCTCCAGAGCCTGTGCCCTTTACCACTGCCTCCAAAGTGCACATGATGCTGAGTTTGTGACTGATGTCTGTTTCTTTACAGTTGCTCAGTGCAAACTGACAGCATAACGCCAAGCCATGATTCAGTAAAGGGGGCAGCCCACTAATGGACCTACCTGATTCAAGGATAACCTTTAGACAAAGAAGGGAAGCGATGACCTTTTGGTAGTCCTGCATGAACAACATTACCTCCAACCAGGTTTTAAACAAGAATTTGAAAGAAGAGTGTTGGAGATTGCAATCTTCCAGATATTCCATATGCCAAATAAAGGCAGAACTATATCCTTTATGATCAGCCAAGCATTAAATATTCACATAATTATTTTTAAAAACTCATTAGAAAACAAAACAAATAATATCATTGTGAGATAATAGAAAATATATATATTGGTCTCTGCCCCTGGTTTCTGCCACATAGCTCCTAAAACCCTTCTAATTTCCTACGTGATCAGAGCACTAGGAGCATCTCTTGTTCTAATATTTGATCTCTGCCCCTGGTCCCTGGTGCAGGGCTCCTAAATCCTTTGGAATTTTCAGGGTGATGGCAGTGTCTTGTTCAAAGGAGGCAACTCTTGGTGGGCTCCTGGATGGGGCTGGTTACCAGAAAGACCAGGCCATGACTGGCAGTGTGGAATTTTCAACCCTATCCCCTCATTCTCCAGAGAGGGGAGAGGGGCTAGAAACGGAGTTAATGACTGATCATACCTACATGATGAAGTCTCCATAAAATCCCCCAAGTATGAGGTTCAGAGAGCTTCTGGGTTGGTGAACATGTGGGGGTGCTGGGAGAGTGGTGCCCGAGACAGAGCGTGGAAGTTCCGTGATCTTTCCTCATACCGTGTCCTACCCATCTCTTCCATCTGGTGTTCACTGTATCCTTTTTCATATCCTTTTATAATAAACTGGTCATCTACTAAGTAAACTGTTGCCTGAGTTCTCTGAGCCACTCTAGCAAATTAATTGAACTGAGGAGGGAGTTGTGGGAACTTCCAAATTATAGCCAATAGGTCAGAAGCACAGGTAACAACCTCGACGTGTGAGTGGTGTCTGAAGTGGGGGGTGCGGGAGGAGGGCGCAGTCTTGTGGACTGAGACTTCCCCTGTGGGGTCTGATGCCACCTCCAGGTAGACAGTGTCGGTGTTTAGTTAAATGGCAGGGCACCCAGCTGGTGCTACAGAATTGCTGGGTGTGGGAAACAACTCCGCACAACTAGTGTTGGCAATGCTGTGAGTGTGTCAGAAGTGTGAGAGTAAAGGAGACACACGGGAGGAATGTGGGTTTTCCTACTCAATCCTGCGCACAGGAACGATAGCTAACGCTCACCGAATGTTTGGTAAGCATCAACCAGGCACTGCTCTAGGTGACATATACATTCACATACACATATCCAGATTCATACATATTCTTATGAGTACATATTCATACTTATGAGGACCAAATGAGTACATATTCACATGACTATGAGTATCCTCATTTGACAAATGAGGAGACTGAGGCACACAGAGGTTAAGCAACTTGCCCAAGATCGTCCAGTTAGCAAGTGTCAGAGCTGGGATGTGAACCCTGGTATTCTGGCTCCAAAATCCAAGTTCTTAACCTCTGAACCATGCCTGTCAAGACAAGAGCAGTGGACACTTGAGATAACTGCTGAGTCACTGCTAGCGAGACTCTTTCTCTAAGCAAACTGTTGTTGGGGCCACGTCCCTGCCCTCAAGCTGTGCACAGTCCAATGAGACACACAAAGCTGTGAACAGACAGAGGCACATTTGCTGGAGCCTCTGGGAGTTTACAGGAGCCTTGGAGACGGGCAGGGCAGGCAGGATGTGGGAGGCAGGTGGTATGGAGTGGACACGTGACTTCTCATAGTGGAAGAGGTTTGCATTGACCCAACTCCACTTTCTCAAGTGGCCTCCAGTTGGTCTTGGTTCTGAATTGAAGAACAAAAGCTGCTTGTGTTGCATAAAGTAGCTAAGCTGTCAAACATATTTTATAAATTCTAGGCAATTTATGTATTGTTTTGGTTCTGAAAGCAAATTTACAATTTTTTTTATTTTTGTTTTTATTCTGCAAGGTAAAGATGACATGAGAATCTCATATGAGAACAGTTTCCTGTGACTGTAGTTCTAGAAGGGGTTACTGAACGAAGGAATCACATTTAACTTTTTGTGGTCAAATGGAAGTAGAATTGGCTAAATCCTGTAGAATGTAACCAACCTTCCATACTTTTAACTGCTGTCTCTTCTGTTCCAACAGGGACTGCCTCTTCCTTGGGTTCCTCAGAGTCTCTCTGGATAAAAGGTTTGTCGAGAGCCCATAAAATCAAATCGAGCAAGGAATGGACTGCAGTTCCGTCTTGGGTGAACACTTTGGAGGCTGCTCTGGCAAGACCGAGCCGTTCCGTGCATTCTGTAAGAAGCTACATAACACCAACCACACAGAACTGAGAGGAAATCGCGAGAGAACTGGGAATAATCATGAAGAGCTTGTTATTTTTAGATCTCTGAGAAAATCCTTTAATTTGAGAAAATAGAAAGCTGAACAACAACTACTGACTTGATCTTTGATTAGGGACAATTTTTGATATTAGATTATCCTACATAATCTCACAAAATTAGTCCAATCCAGCTGTGAAAATTCTTAGGTCCAGAAATTTAACCCAGCAGTTGACATTTGTTAATGCATTTTATCATGAGAGTATCTATTTCCTAAGAAATGTTCAACCTAGAAATCCACTTTCAATTTGGCTGCCTTATAAGGTATAAATTGTTGTAACACTTCCTACTGATGAACAGTTCTAAAATAAATGAATTGACTTTCAAAGCAAGAACTGACACATATTATTACTTCCATTGTCCAGATGGGAAAACAGGCTGAAAGGTTAATATCTTTGCCCAAGACCACAAAAGCCAGCTGTGGATCCCAGAGTGAATCTTGGAGTTGCTAACTTTTGTACTTTGCTTAGTCTGTTGAACAACATCTTTTTTAAAAAAAAAAATCTGCTTGTATTCAACCAAAGAGGCGTGTGAATGAGTTTGTGTGCGGGTGTGTCTGCAAGGAGGTCTCCAGGGTAACTAACTCCAGATGAAGTTTAACACTGCCTGTAAAACGTGCTGCGAAAGGAATCGGCCAGAACGTACAGACAAGATAATCACCCAGCGATGGAAGCACAATGCTGGGTTTGGGCCTTTTGGGCTCTCCTCCGTCCCTGAGACCATGGGGACAGCCTCTAAGAAGGAAACCACATATTCCCTCCTGGCACAACTCCTGCTTCGCCAGTGTGAAAATGGAGGGAAACACCCTGTCAACAAACGAGTGCTCAGATTCTCCAATGACAGATGAGGGGGCGGCTCGTAGAATAGTCAGACAACATGCAGCTTGAAGCTGGAATAGGAGGAAGGCAGAAAGGCATTGTCTGTCACAGAAGGAAGAAAATCTGGTGGCTTTGTTCCCCCTGTTTTTGTACATCTTTGCTCCGGAGCTAATCTAAACACCATATTCTGGTTTCTCACTTTTCTAAGTCTGTATCCAAAGAAATACAATCAATAGGAATATCTTTAAGAAACCAGAGATCTTGATCTCATCAGTTTAAATTGGTGAAACTGGCTGGGGACATTTATCACTCAATCCCACTGCTTTTTTCTTGTCAGAAGAATCACCATTATTACCTCTGAGGAGGCGAGAAGCATTTAAGTGATAGCCACTTACCATGGGGAATGTTCCAGCCACAATTAACTTCCCATTTCGATATCCATCTCCGTTTTTGTATGCAATTATTTTCAGTGCCTTCTGGTGCGTAGCTGCCATACCACTATGAGATACCACTTGTGTGCGGGTCTTCATCCGTAAAGATAATAGACGGTCTTCATAATAACTTAGAGTTTTCTCAGCCTCGTAAGAAGATAAATCAGCCTGAATAAAAAAAAAAATCATAGGTCTACTCAAGCTTTTTTCTTTTAGTTCTGTTACTTTGGTATACTTCAGTCTCTAACTTAATAAATAGGCATGTGGCGTCTACATTTTGCAATGCTCACTCCACGTGTGACAGGTATTGGATGCTGCAGCAGGAGGGACACTGGGCCGGAACTCAGTTCTCTCCCCAGCCCTGTCACTGAGTCTCTAGGGGACTTGGGCCTCTTGTTTCTGGCCTCCTCCTGTGACAGGAGGTGAGGAAGGATGCCAGGGCCAGAGAGAGCTGGGCGTGAAGGAACGGCACGCCAGCACTACAGACACTCTCTCCATCTTGACCTTCAGGACGATGCCATCCTGAGGTGGCAGATACTGAGGAAGGAGGAAGGGAATGAGTGCAGCCTCAACCACACAGGAATGAGGAGTGGACACCACACTGCTCCCTTCCCTCTCCTTCCCCACTCTTGAGGGGAAGCTCTGTCTCAGATGCTCTAACACTGGGGATTCTCTTCAGTCAGCTCACCCACATCCTCAACGCTGCCCCACTATCAGCAAAGCAAGGACAATGCCTTCGGACTCCCCCAGAGGAGTGACTGCCTGTCTCCTTCAGAGTCACTGTGTCGGTGATGTTTGTGGTGATGTTACTACCCCACCCCTCCCTGCAATGCGTGTTGGGTTCGGGGGAGAGAGGAGAGTGGTTTGGGAACGGGTGGGCAGGCCCTGAAAAGCACCAGGCCAGAAGACTGCCCACCTCTTAGGAATCTCCTTCTCATACAGGTGTGTAAGTTCCCCTCAGCACGTCTCACTTCTGAACTTGAGGAAAGAATTTTTTAAATGGTGCCATTTTAAATTAAGATCATAGGAAAGTGCAGAGATTTTCTCTCCATGAGCTATAAATAGTATTAGACATGGATGTGTGAATTCAGGCACCCAACCCGAAGAGTCATTAACAACGACATGTCAAATGCCCCCTGAAAGGTTCCATCCTAGTAAAAAGGTGTTTGCCTTGTAGGTACAGGCAGAAAGCCACTCCACTAGGTAAAGATTTGCAGTTACTTCCTCCTCTAAAAGCAACACGGAGAGCAGGAGAAGGTGTCAGAAGATGATTAAAGCCGCAGAAGTGCCCAATTAACTTCAAAGAGTGTATCGAACTATTAATAGACGATGTATTTTAAATTACGAGGGGGAAAAGGAAATCAATGCAGGTGTAGTGGGGAAGGGGCAGCAAAGGAAGACGAGTCGGAGGAGTGGAGAGGAACTGAGTGCAGGCAGATAACAAATGCACCACCGTTTCCAAACTGACGCCATATACACATCAGCAGAGCCCGGTCATGACACACCTCAGCCACCTTGATGACCTTGAAAGGCCCTCGTGAGAAGGGCTTCTGGGTCTGGGATCCTGAGGCACAGAGGAACGGCAGCCCAGGAAGCAACTGTTTCAGTCCCTTCTCTGCTTGCCTGGATTGTCCACATGCCAAGCAGAGCATCATTTTTTTCTTTCCAGCGGATGAGAGATAATAGTATCCCTGAAAAGGGAAAAGATGCTTTTATATAGGCACATCTCAATTATGACAGCATTTTTGTAGAACACTTTATAATACAAATAAAGCAGTTCTACAACCCCTAAATGCTAAATTTGAAATCTCAACATGAATGCATTATTTTGCTCCCTAATAATTACATTTAAAAAGAACACATTTCCAAATTCCGTTGACTGAAAAAGCCTAGAGGCAACGACCATTCAACATCAATCTGTGTAACTTGTGTCCAGAATCAGGGTTTCTTGGAGGAATGGCCAGTTCCAGACTTGAGGCAAGAGACATATACATACAAGACAAGCAAGGCTTGTCATGTGATACCCAGAAGGAAAAGAAGCCCCCAAGAGTAAAGGAGTCAGGTCAAAATTACACGGGAGCCAAAGAGAAGGGCCTTCACTGGCCCAAAGTGGGACAATGTGGGAACAACAAAAAGAATGACAAACAAAACACTTTGAATGTGTTTGAATATGTAAAATCCTTAGTTCATGACGATGCTAAAAATATAAGTAAAAACAACAACAACAACAAACAACAACAAACAACAAAACCACAACTTAACGGAGTCCATTGGAAGTAAACTGGCACCAGTTTATAACGCTGGAATCCGGCCATTAGAAAGTGTGGCAGATTATTTCAAAGATGGCCACCATGAGGCCATCCCACCCTCGTCTGCAGGCCCTTCTGGAACATGACTTTGCTGCTCCTCCGCTCAAGAAACAGAGTTTCTTTCTCCTTCTCTCTCTTCCTTGAATTGGGCAAGGCCATGTGACTCACTCTGGCCAACGCAGCATTAGCAAATGTGTTGCAAGCAGACATGTAAGAAGTGCTTGCACACCGGAGCTTGTATCTTTCAGCTGCAGCGGGAACCCTGAGACCACAATCTGAACGCACTTGAGCTCACCTGCTCCAGGAGCCTTGAGGAGAACCAAGGTCCCAGCTCAGAGCCTGCCAAGCACCAGACATGTGAGGGAGGCTGTCTTTGACCGCCCAGTCCCCACAGAACCACCAAACTACTGAAGCACCACCAGATGACCAGAGCCACATTAGTGACCCTGGACAAGACCAGCAGAACTGCCCAGCTGAGCCCAGCCCAAATCGCTGACCCACAGAGCAAAAACAGTTGTTGGTTTAAGTCACTAAGTTTTCAGGTGGTTTGTTATACCACAATGGATAAGTGAGATGGAAAAAATTAAGCATTTATCCTACCCTCCCTTACAAATCATATTTTTGGGTAGTCAAATACCTAGTTGAAGAGATAAAATTCTTCCTTACATTAAAAGTTCAGCTAATAAATGTGAGGAAAAGCAATAGAATTAGACAAAATTGACCTTTTTGAAACTCCTAATGATTTAGGCAAAGATCACCAAAGGGCAACACTAGAGGAAAAGGCACTGGGAATGTTTTTAATGTGGGATTAGATTGTAATCACCTGAACCCACTGATAACTGCCATCACGAAAAATGGAAAATCCAGGCATTGTTTGCCCGTGTAAGTGATAAATATGAAACACACAGTAAAGCCTAGAAGATTCTTGTCCAAAAAAGCTGAACATAAATCTAATTACAACCCTAGTGCCCAACTCCATTTACAAGAATTATGGGGCTAGAGAAACAGGGTGGTAAAGGATGCCATGGAAGCAAACAGACAAATCCAAATAACAGGCATTCTGCAAAAGGATTCTGCAGATTCTGCAACCAAATGTCGCGTAGGGACCTTGACTGATTGAATCCTGACTCAAACCAACCAACCATAAGAAAAATTTTCAGGAGCACCTGGGAAATTTTATTAAGAACAGAGTATAACTAGAGGGCCAAAGAATTACTGTTAATTTTGTTAGGTGTGATAATGCCATAATGATTATGTAAGAAAATGTTCGAATTTTTTAGAGGCTCATGCTTAAGTTTGAGGTGAAATGGTATCATGTCTGGGGTTTTTAAATGTTGCAAAACCTTGATAAAAGTGGACTTTGGCTGATAGGTATATGAGAATTTACTATAGTAGCGTCTCTACTTTTGAGACACTAGTATATGTATGAAAATTTCCACAGTAAACCTTTAAAGTGCTTTTATATAGACTCTAATTTGCTTTCTTCCTCACAAGGCTGAAAGTTAAGTGGAGCCAGAGTTAACATCATCATTCTCAATTTACAGATGAGAACACAAAAGCTCCGAGTGGAAGTTTTTATCCAAGGGTCCCCAAGGAGCACACAGCAGAGCTGAAACACAAAGCTGTGACCGAGCCCGCGCTTTTAGCTCCTCGCCTCTGCCTTGTTGCTCCAGCCACTCCCTGTGAGCAGGCAGAGCTGTCAGTCCAAAGGCAACACTTAGATCAGACTGTAGAAGATGCAATTCTTAAATTCCAATACGGATTTCTCTATATGCACATATGATTTCCACTTTTCTACAAATTACTGGAAGACAAAAAATTAAAATATCCTCTCTCAGGCGGAACTGAATGAATATTATGTGCAGAATCGTTTGTATAGAAAAGCATGGGCTTCATGACAGATCGTGTGCCAATGATGTTCCTTATTACATGACAGAAAATGTATTTTTCATGCATAAAGACACCAATCCCCATGACTGTGGTGCTACCATTTTGATGGTCTCCAAATTGTTCTATTCTGGCAATGGTGCATGTACACAAGGTAAACTGGATTTTCGATTAATTCCTTCACGCTTAATACTCCTATGAAAATGCTGATGAAAAGAAAAATGCAATACGTTTGGGTAGTTCCCAGGGTTAGGCTGTGACTGCAGGATGAAAATAGAGTTTAAAAGTTCAGTAAGTCAGCTGCTGGCTCTCTGTACAGAATACCAACAAACTGATTTAACTAATTTTTTTCTTTTTAAAATTTCCTTGATTTATTGAAGTGACTCACTTGACTTGTTCATTCGGCCTTATAGAGATACGGTCTATGACCCGGGTGTGTCTGATGAACATGATCATTACTATGTGTATGGTGGCAGCTAACGTGACTGTGAATCAATTATTCAGTTTCTTTCATCAATCTTAATTTAATTAACTTATTGATATTGATATTCATTATTTAAATGAGATGTGAAAATAACTAATATCACATTAGTATCTAGTATACAGTAGCTATTTAGGATATAATAGTTACTTCATACTAGTTTTCTTTTTCTAAGCTATCCAAGCAAATGCATCCAGGTCTAGAGAAAGAGTTCTTACCCTTCATCCAAATTGGATTTCAGGGGCAGTCTATGAACTCCCTAAAATTTTCTACAAAAAGTGTGTACACACGTGCATTTTTTGGGAAAAGAATACCCATAATTTTGACAAGACTCCCAAAGAGGTCTGCATCTCCAAAATGTTAGGTACTAACCCCTGGCCTAGAGCCTTCGTACAGAGGGCCGGTTTTCCCAGGCCCAAGAGAGAGAACATTTTTATAAATCTGTGAATCCCAGAACTGATACATTATGATACTCTTCAGAAATTAATCACATTAACTTAGATAGACTATCATCTAATTCTCGGGAAAGGACAGTTATAATCTATTAGAATGAATCATTATTGAAAACTGAGAAGTTGCATTGTGATCAACGTAAATAAAAGAACATCTGATCACACAGTTCAAAGAAAGGCACCAGTTTTATGAACACTGAGGCCGAAGCTCTAGGAGTTCTTTCTTTCCTTTCCCTTTTTATTATAAAACATCTTAATCATATACAAAATAGGACAGAATAACAAACCCCATGTACCCATACTCAGCTCCAACAGACTATCTGGATGTTAATAAAAGTTAAAGAAAAAGGAAGCTACATTTTGCTAGAATTGCTAAAATGCAACCAAGTTGTAAAGGCCGATAGAGAAAATATCCAAAAAGTCACAAGATGGCCACAAAATAAAATTAACGAATAACTGGATAGGTATGGCCCAGGAAATTGAGGCGTTCACTGGGGATGAAGTAAGAGTGCTAAAAATCTGCAGTTACTGATGAAGCCACTGAAAGTGGCAGCTATATTTAAGTTAGGCAAACAACTCAGAAGGCCGTTTGAGTCTCTGATTTAAGAACTCATTCTGCAAAAAGAGCCATTTTACACATTTTATATTACTCCTGCTCAGGAGTCATCCTGATGCATCCTCTACACTAGGCTCCTATCAGGAAGGAAAATGACAGGGAAGCAAATGGCCCTCGAGGATTATTTTGAAGAAAGCAAGCTGCATGTACGAGTCTAGGATGAGTTCAGATTAAAGTCAACGTGCCGCTCTCTGCTGTGCAGCACTGTAACCAGCATATTGATGGTCCTGACTCGGTTAAATGGTGTTCTGCCTACACAATTTAAGGAAAAGTACACAAAATAGTTTCAAAAATATTTCCAACAAAAGAGTCAAGCAGAAAATTCTGGTACTTAAAGTGTTACCCTTTTCTTAAGCAGAGCATCAAGATGCCCACCCACTGAGTCCTCAACCCAGGGGCCACTGTCTCACTGTGGTCCCACCTTTAATGCCACCACCCTTCTCACTCAGCTTAGATTCTACAGTCTATCCTAATCACTCCTTCCGTTCCTTTCCCACCAATTCTACAGTCCAGCTGCCCTGCCTCTTTCGGTAAAAACATGAGTCCTACGTCACTAGAAACATCTTCATCATACACAAAAGCACGATGCACCCCCGTCTCCCCCATCAGCTTCATTAATTATCAACAATTACCAATCTTGCTTCATCTGCACCCCACCTACTTCTCTCCTTACCCTGGTTTACTTTGAAGCAAATTCCAGGCATCGTATCATTTCATTCTTTATTTCAGAATGTATCTCTAAAAGATAAGGGCCCTGTTATCATAACAACAATACCTAAAAATGAACAACTAATAATACCTTAACACAATCAAATATTCAGTCAGCATTCAGATTTCCACGGCTCTTTCTCTCTCACAGTTTGTTTGAAACAGAATCAAAATAAGGTCCATACATTACAATTAAACGTTTATATACCTCTTTTTCTTTTAATCTCCATGTTCTTCCTATATCTCTTTCTCTCTTTTCTTTTATTGTAATTTGTTGGTTGTAGACTTTCTCTCAGTTAGGGCTTTGATGACTACAAGGTCTCTGTGTCTTTCAAATTGTTCCTGTATCTCTTGCATTTCCAGTAAATTATTAGTTAGAATAAAAGACTTGATTGAGTTCCACTTAGTTTTTTCGGGGTTAGAACACTTCATCAGTGGTACTGGGTGCTCCCATCAAGGGGCACATATTGTCCGTTATGTCTCTTTGTAATGCTAGTGGCTACTGATGATCATTGCCTAGATCCACTAATTTACTAAAGTTTACAACATAGTGATATCTGATTTTTTCATACCTTATTCATTTATTAGCTTGGATATTTCTATGAAGTGAAACTTCCCCTTATCAACTATTTTGTTATGCTGAGGTACAGTTCACAAAGGAAGGAAAAAAATAAATGCTTGATTCATTTCCCATTTTTCAAAGTAATGAATTGGTTCCTTAGCATCATCTAATTATGACCAATGAGGAGTTGTTGTTGCTGTTGTTTAATATCAGTATAAACATACAGATTTAAACATATCTGATGTTTGTCAATCCACCACATTCATTAGTCTTATTGATGCTTCGAGTGTTTCGTCTGTGGACTGGAAGCCTTCTCAAGTTGACTTGACTCCTTTTAAGATGACTGTAGTCGTCTTTGACAGCATATTTGCTACCTGGTATGAATGTACAGAAAAAGGAGAAAGGGCAAGGAGGGACACTGCAGCCAAAACCAGTGACATGCAAAATGGTATGGCACACTGGTACAACCGTGAATCGTTCAGTAGAGCTAGGGAACGACGAGTGAGTGAAGCAGATGCAGCAGCTTAGAGACAGCTGAGGAGCAGAGTAAGGAGGGTCTGGAGGGTCTTATGTGCATTATGAGATTTCAATTTTCTGTAGGCCGAAGGTCATCAACAATAGCAAGGTGTCTTGACCCACTGACCCACAGATATCTCAGGCGTTTGTCAAGTATAGTGCAAGCAATTCCTTACTAATAAAAATTGTAGGACCAAACTTGATAAAATTATTTCCTTTAGAAATTAGAGTTTACTCACGCTTAGCCCTATGCTTGGTATGACGTGATATAGTTAGAGTCACAATCATTTGCATTCTCATAAACTTCTGGGGTGGAGGGACACCCGGTGTGGCAGGCACCCCTGGGAGAGAGCAGACGTGTGACTATCCTGCCTCATGCATGTTCTGGTGAACTGATGATAAAGCAAAGGTGGTACTGATAATGGGGAGCGCCTGAGGCAACGTAAGCAGAGGGTAACACCAATACTCCCGCATTCCTTCCTAACCAGAGTCACAGAGTCCAAGCAACTTCATTCACAAACCAGTGCTCAATTTGTGTCAACATAAGGTTTTCTAGAAAAAATTTTTCTTGCTATATTACATTACCCCATTTTCCCCTATTTTTCTTTACTCCTCAGTAGGAAGGAACCACTCACTGGCTGATGGACGTTTTCCCCTTTGATCACAGAGGATGTGCAGACACCAGCATAATGTGCCGCTGTGGTCTCCTTGTCCAGGGGAGTGCTATGAAAGGCCACGAGAGCTTTCGTCCTTTCCACGTACTTCCACTTCTGATTGGAAGCCCCGTTCTTATATGGTTTATACTTCTGGAAATATGGAGTCAAATAGGAGAGTTCATGAGTTGGTTATAGCAGAGTTTTCACTGCATAAACTCAGAAAGTGCAGAAAATTACACATAATTCTACTACATAGTGATAATCACAATTGATATTTGAGATTATATACACAATATTTTTTATATTTCTAAATATGCATTCTTTAATTTACAAAAATGGAATCACAAAATACATACAATTTGGTTAACTACATTAGTTGTTTTTCTTTTTAACTTAACAATATTCCACAAACCTTTTCCTAATATTTTTTTAAGGACAAATACCATTTGATCTTAGGGATATTTTATTTTACCAATCCCCAATAGTTAAACGTAGATTGTTTCTCAAATTTTCCTTATTATAAGCAAAAGAGCAATGAACAACCATATAAACAAATCTTTGTGTAAATCCATGATAACTTCCTTAGAACCCAAATTCCTCAAGTATAATTGCTGATAAAATAACATGATCAATTTTAAATGTTATGATGTGTCATATAAAGCTTTATCATACAAAATGCTTTCTGGAAAGGTCATTCCAGTTTACATTTACACCAATAGCAAATGAAATGGCCTGTTTTCCTCACACTCTTGCCAAAATATCACCAATGTAATAAATGAAAAATAGTACCTTATTGATATTTTAATTTACTTTTCACTGGTTATCAAGGAGGTTTGTTTCAAAATGTGAGTACAATCAGTTTTATTGTAATAGAAACAGTAGATTTATTCTAACTACAAAACTTGGCTCAAGCATAAGTAAAGAAATGAGTAGTATCAATTTAAGAGAATTTAAACCAGTAAACTAGCCAGCCCTGGTGATCTAGTGGTTAAAATTTGGCACTCTCACTGCCATGGCCCGGGTACTTTTCCCGGTCAGGGAACCACATCACCTGTCTGTGGGTTGTCACACTGTGGCAGCTGCATGTGGCTGTGATGCTGAGAGCTCTGCCACCAGGATTTCACATACCAGCAGGGTTACCCATGGGGGACAGGTTTCAGCAGGGCTTCCAGAACTAAGACAGACCAGGAAGAAGGACCTGGCCACACACTTCCAAAAAAACTGGCCACGAAAACCCTAAGAATACCAGCAGAGCATTGTCTGATACAGCGCCGGAAGGTAAGAGGATGGTGCAAAAGACCGGGCAGGGTTCCCTCTGCTGTGCACAGGGACGCTAGGAGTCGGAATCCATCCCACAGCACTAATGACAAGCCAGCAGATGAGTGCTAGCTGAGCATATCCTGACGCCTCTAGGAACTTCATAGTGAATAACACTTACTCTACCAGGAGAGACTGATAGTAAAGAGGAAAATACATGAGTCTTAAGAACTGATTTACTAGGTCAGACAACAGAGCATCCCTCACAGGTATGGAAAACAAAGACTGTATTTCAAGGAACAGGGAGGAGGTCTAACAACATTAACCTAACATGCCTCATTTTATTATTTTACATGAACTTTAATATTTTCTCATCAACTGATTGCTTTAAGAAATAAAAATGAAATACGAGCAAAGAAAAAATCTTGAAAGGTAATATAAATTACCTTGGGATCAAATTCATTTGTTACAAAATGGGAATCTTAGGGGAAAACATTCATATCTATAATTTTATGAAACTGATTATGGTACTAAATTCGTGTCTGCAGAGGTCTTATCTCACTGTGATCTGTACAAAGAGGCACCTGACAGAGAAGAAGGTGATGTTGTACACTGTGTCTCCTGGCATAAGCTTAATCCCTATTTCTCATCAGGATGGAAGACTTAACTAAGCTTTGATATTTGTCCAGATTGCTATGTTCCAATTTTGGATTCAGGACCCACAAAACAAGTTGCCTCATTGCTATTAAAAACATGGAACAAAACAAATGTTATTTGGAGACAATATAGTCTGTTCAACAAGAAGACGATAAATACTGTGGAGGATACGGAAAGCAAATGCAGAGCAGGGACGCTCCTCAACTTTACGTCCGCCCAGCAAGGAGAACACACGAGCGTCTTTGGTTGCACGTAAGTGAAGATGACAGACAAGCATGGAAGAAGAGCTCCCGAGGTCTTCACCCCAAACTCAGCTGAAACCAGACTTCTTTGGAGTCTCCAAAAATTGTCTGGCTGCTATAAACATTTGCAAAAGTATGTTAAAAGTGTATTTCAAATGAGTGTCTCAGTAGAATTAACATTGATGAGCTCACGCTCTCAGGGAGACCTCTCTGACCATGTTCTCTCCCTCCAGCAGCCAGGTAAGGGGGGGCTGGCGTACGTCCCCCGTCACTGACCTTGAAACAGGTGCATCTAACGGCGTTCACCCGGCTGCACCCACCGTGGGGACTGGCAGCTCCACGAATGCTACTGGAACAATTTCCTTTTTCTTTTTTTTTGGTGAGAAAGATTGTCCCTAAGCTAACGTCTGTGCCAATCTTCCTCTATTTGGTATGTGGGACGCCGCCACAGCGTGGCTGGGTGAGCAGTGTGTACATCTGTGCACTGGGTCTGAACCTGTGAACCCGGGGCCACGGAAGTGGAGCACGCGAACTTAACCACTATGCCACTGGGCAGGCCCTGGGACAATTTCTCATGCTTGCCACTGGATTTGACTCTAGTAACTAGCGTAGCACCTGACATGCAGCAAGCCCAAATCACCATCTGTTGGATTAAACTAAATTAAGAATTACATGAACATGCTCAATTTGAAATTTAGACAGGCTGTTGTAAATATTTTAACAGTAGCATTCAAGATAGGTTTCAACGACAGCCATTTTCTTTCTCCACAACAGGGAAGCACGGAGCTTCACTTAATTTAACTAAAGAAAGAGCCATGCCTATTCTTTGGCCTATATATCTCTTACCTGCACAATAACTGGATAGCCACAGAGGTCTCTCCCAGCGCTGGTCATCGACACTGCCAGCACCAGCTCCGGGTCTCTCACCAGGTGAAAGGTCCTTGGGAAAACAGGATGAGGCACATTACAAAGTAGCACGAGCCCCTTAGAGCTCGCTCTGTGTCACCCATCAGGGTTGCCTCTTGGCCCCATACATGCTCTGTGATAATGGGTGTGAATCCTTTAAGCATTTCTCCCCCACAGAAAGCAGACGTCAAGCTTTCTCAGGAGAGGGGCTGGAAGAACACTGCAGGAGGAAGGGCTCTCCTGCTCCTTCTGGCTGCTCATGGGGTGAGAACATCCAGTGATACTCTGCCCCACCAGGCGCCCAGAATGTGTGGTCCCTCGGCACCCTCGCAGCTCTGCCAGGCCTGCTGATCATCTGCTTGCAGTCCCCTGACACGGCCATCACGGGCTCCAGGCCTTCTGCTGCACCAGCACCCCATTCCCTTTGCATGCCCATGTGCCCAGCAACCAGCTGTACCCCCACACATGTTCCAGCAGCTGCTTCCTGCTTGCCCAGTAGCCACAGACCACATCTGGCTCGGAAAACCAGCAACTTCCCTGCCAGCCAGTGGGCTGCAACCACACCCTTCCCAGTGGGTCCTGAGCTCCAGGTGTGGGTAGGGGCCCAATTCCAACTTCGTCCTTTCTTGGACCCCTCCCTCAGCCCTTAAGTACGTATAGAGTTTGTTTGTTTTTAATATCTGAGAGTTACTTTTTATCATCATTTAATGATTCTTTATGTCAGGGGTCCCCTGTATAAATCGCTGCATGGTTCTGCCTGCAGATCGGACCAGGACTGATACTCCTCACCCATTTTGCAGCTCGGAGAGTCAGTAAGGCAGCGTGATTAAGAACATGGAAGCTGGAGCCACAGTGCCCAAGTGTGAATCCTGGGTCCACCTCTCAAGAGCTCCTTGGCTCTGCTTAACAACTGTGCCTCAGTTTCCTCATCTGTAAGATGGGAGAATGGTGCACACCTCACAGGACCATCGAGGGAACCAAACGAGTCAATGCATACAAACACACAGAATATTGTCTGGCACGCAGCACTTACTATTAGCTACTATTATTAATGGTTGTGATTTTTTATAGCTTTTCCTCAAATTCTTTTTTTCTAAAGTTTTCCCTCAGAGTCCAAGGTATACGTTGAATATTTTTAAGTGATCTGATATTGAAGCTAGCATAAAGCCTCCTTGACTAAAAAACAAAGTTATTGAGCCAAAACCCTCCAATTCTTTTCCTTGCATTCCTTAAAAGTAAAAATAAACCAAACATTCAAGACTCTTATCTGTATAAGAAAAGCCAGCTTTTTATATCTGTCAACATAGTTACGTCACAGACCAGCGGCATTTTCTGCTGTGGAAAATATAACTTGTCCTGAACATAAAATGTAATGATGTGGGAGTGGAGCGGAGGGGCGAAGGTAGGAGGGGATCTGTTATAAAAATAATATATTTTTCCTTTCAAGACTTAAAAAAATTCCAGATGTTTAATTTAAATCTCTGAAGATAAAACAATATATCCTCTTTGTAAAGAATTTACAAAGTACTGGAAAATACAGTACAAATTACACAGAATTTTGAATATTACTCTTACTCCTACAAGATAACGACTATTAATCTTACAATGTATTTCTTCCTTCTACTTTTAGTTAATGAAGTATCATTTTAAATCCAAAATGGCTATTCAATTTTGTCAAATAACCTTTCAGCATTTATCAAGACCACACTGCACGAGAGTTGGTGTTCTATATTGTCTGTCTCTGTGGCCTCCGCATGTTGCATAGTTTGCATCTTGCATTCTTCTTGGCACTCAACAATATTCAAATGAATGAATGATTGTGTATTTCATGCAATGACCTCTTGAGATGCTAGGATTAGTTTTTGCTGTCTAGAAAAGATACGGCAACCTCTCCCAGGCTCCAGTGCCTCGCTCAGCCACTACAGTGTTGGCTTTTCTTTTCCTTTTTTTTTTTTTTTTTTTTTTTT